GGAAAACACAGTCAGCACCAGGGAATGGAAAAAACAGTCAGCACCAAGGACAGGGAAACACAATCAGCACCAGGGACAGGGAAACACAATCAGCACCAGGGACAGGGAAACACAGTAAGCACCAGGGACAGGAAAACACAGTCAGGACCAGGGACAAGCAACAATCAGCACCAGGGACAGGTAAATACAGTCAGCACCAAGGACAGGGAAACACAGTCAGCACCAGGAACAGAAAAAACACAGTCAGCACCAAGGACAGGGAAACATAGTCAGGACCAGGGACTGGGAAACACAGTGAGGACCAGGTACAAGGAAACACAGTCAGCACTATGGACCAGAAAACACAGTCAGCACCAGGGACAGGGAAACACAGTCAGCACCAGGGACAGGGAAACACAGTCAGCACCAGGGACAGGGAAACACAGTCAGCACCAGGGACAGGGAAACACAGTCAGCACAAGGACAGGGAAACACAGTAGGCACCAGAGACCGGGAAACACAGTCAGCACCAGGGACAGGGAACACAGTCAGCACCAGGGACCGGAAACGACGAGAGTAGCACCAGGGACAGGAACACGAGTCAGCACATTCATGGAAACGACAGTCAGCACCAAGGACAGTAAACACAGTCAGACACCAAGGATAGGAACACAGTCAGCACCAGGGACAGGGAAACACACTCAGCACCAGGGACAGGGAAACACAATCAGCACAAGGACAGGGAAACACAATCAGCACAAGGACTGGGAAACACATTCAGCACAAGGACAGGGAAACACAGTAAGCACCAGGGACAGGGAAACACAGTCAGCACCAGGGACAGGGAAACACAATCAGCACAAGGACAGGGAAACACAGTCAGCACCAGGGGCAGGGAAACACCAAGGTCAGCACCAAGGACAGGGAAACACAGTCAGAACCAGGGACAGGGAAACACAACCAGCACCAGGGACAGGGAATCAAAGTCAGCACCAAGGACAGGAAACACAGTCAGCACCAAGGACAGGGACACACAGTCATCACCAGGGACAGGGAAACACAGTCAGCACAAGGACAGGGAAACACAATCAGCACCAGGGACAGGGAAACACAATCAGCACCAGGGACAGGGAAACACAGTAAGCACTAAGGACAGGGAAACACAGTCAGCACCAGGGACAGGGAAACACAGTCAGCACAAGGACAGGAAAACACAGTCAGCACCAGGAACAGGGAACACAGTCAGCACCAGGGGCAAAAACAGAGTCAGGACCAGGGACAGGGAAACACAGTCAGCACCAGGGACAGGGAAACACAGTCAGCACCAGGGACAGGGAAAACAGTCAGCACCAGGGCAGGGAAACACAGTCAGCACCAGGGACAGGGAAACACAGTCAGCACCAGGACAGGGAAACACAGTAGGCACCAGAGACCGGGAAAAACAGTCAGCACCAAGGACAGGAAAACACAGTCAGCACGAAGGACAGGGAAACACAGTCAGCACCAGGGACAGGAAAACACAGTCATCACGAAGGACAGGGAATCACAGCACCAAGGACAGGGAAACACAGTCATTACCAGGGACAGGGAAACACAGGCAGCACAAGGACATGGAAATACAGTCAGCACCAGGGGCAGAGAAACACAGTAGGCACCAGGGGACAGGGAAACACAATCAGCACCAAGGACAGGGAAACACAGTCAGCACCAGGGACAGGAAAACACAGTCAGCTCCAAGGACAGGGAAACATAGTCAGGACCAAGGACAGAGAAACACAGTCATCACCAGGGACAGGGAAACACAGTCAGCACCAGGGACAGGGACACACAGTCAGCACCAGGGACAGGGAAACACAGTCAGCACGAAGGACAGGGAATCACAGCACCAAGGACAGGGAAACACAGTCAGCACAAGGGACAGGGAAACACAGGCAGCACAAGGACATGGAAATACAGTCAGCACCAGGGGCAGAGAAACACAGTAGGCACCAGGGACAGGGAAACACACTCAGCACCAGGGACCGGGAAACACAGATAGCACCAGGGACAGGGAAACACAGTCAGCACAATTTCATGGAAACACAGTCAGCACCAAGGACAGTAAAACACAGTCAGCACCAAGGATAGGGAAACACAGTCAGCACCAGGGACAGGGAAACACACTCAGCACCAGGGACAGGGAAACACAGTCAGCACCAGGGACAGGGAAACACAGTCAGCACAATTACAGGGAAACACAGTCAGGACCAGGGACAGGGAAACACAGTCAGGACCAGGGACAGGAAAACACAGTCAGTACCAGGGACAGGGAAACACAGTAAGCACCAGGGACCGGGAAACACAGTCAGCACCAGGGACAGGGAAACACAGTCAGCACCAGGGACAGGGAAACACAGTCAGCACAATTACAGGGAAACACAGTCAGGACCAGGGACAGGGAAATACAGTCAGTACCAAGGATAGGGAAACACAGTCAGTACCAAGGATAGGGAAACACAGTCAGCACCAGGGACAGGGAAATACAGTCAGCACCAGGGACAGGAAAAAACACATTTAGCACCAAGGACAGGAAAACACAGTCAGCACCAGGGACAGGAAAACACAGTCAGCACCAGGGACAGGGAAATAGTCAACACCAGTGACAGGGAAACACAGTCAGCACAATGGAGTGCACTTAGTGCAATGCTATCGTATTTCACTGAATAATGAATGGATATTGTACTTTACACACCTTCTATCTCTTCCGTATACTCCCGTTTGGCTCTGATGGACACATTTGCAACCGCCAGCCTCCCTGTTGTCAGTACATCAAACAGACAGGCCTGGTTGTCAGTACCACACACCTCCTCAGCCTGGGCCTGTATCAGCAAATACCAAAATCTAGTTTTGCCTCGAAAAATTGTTGTTATGCGTTTTACATATAATACATAATCAAATCCAGCCGTCTAGAGCTTAATGTAAACCTAAAGGATACTACGAATCCTGCCGTGAAGATATTCCATTATTCATCCTACCTTATAAGAAACAGAATAACAGTTTTAGTAAAAAAATATTACCTGGAATTCTGCTGAGGCTAATGGCAATTCAAATGTAGGAGTGAACTCTGTGTTCTTGAAGATGTCGTAACTTTCACCCGGTCCATACGTGAAGAGAGAGTCGGCTTCGTCAATCATCCCTAAATGAAACAACAAACACTTGTTTGCTTTCGTCTTATAAAACCAAGATGTAGGCTCCTGGACAAAGCTACAACTGCAAACTATTGACATTAGATAACAAGTGATTGGGAGCAGGATTGTGGAGGAATTATGATGCCAACTCACAAGTCAGTCCAAACAAGTAGTGTATGTCTTCCGTGCTGCTGTCAGCAGCCACGACTGTTCCGTTCGGGGTAGTCAGATCATCTTCGGCTTCTTCATTCCATTTCCCGAGCAAACCCAATGTCTGTCCTTTCATCTGGAATGGCAGTTTCATGGCGATAGAGAGCATGCCTTCCATCGCACTGACTATCACACCGATGCCAGAGTCGAAGGAAATCTGTGCCTCAGCGGCTTCTTCCACGGTCACCGTAAACCCTAGGAGACCGAAATTATAAATGTTAAGTGACGACGTGTATGATAACATCAGAAAATATCTGACCACAAAAATAACATCCGTTGGATAATTTTGTTCTCTGGCCTTTCGCCTTGTAAAGAGAAATTTCCGCCAAACATTGTCTTAATTGCTAGGTTCTAAGCCATGTAATGTTAACACCAATGGTATGTGCGCCTGTTTTACAAGGCTAGAGGAAAGCTGTTTCCATCTTCTACCTGATCGAAAGATTGAAGGACTACGGAAACACGAAGTACCTGAAAACTCTTGCACGGTTAGATCCTGAAAGTCCATCAGTTCGCCATCAACAATAACATCCATAGTCCGAACTTCACTGAGCTGCAGCTGCACGGTTTCGGATGACCCTTCCTTCATGGCCAGGGCAGTGAAGATGGTGGCGTCTACAGGTGAGCCTGTGACACAGAATTGGAACATTAAAACTCTCGTTTTCTAAGAAAAAATATTGTTTTTGCTCTGTTTCTTTCTCCAGACAAATGTCACGAACCATGCGGCTGTCACCTTGGTAAATGGTGCTGTGGCAGACAATTTTGGATTTCACCATGTAGCAGTGGACAGATTTGGGGGGCCTGCTCAACATGTATATGGATGTATTTCAGTCAGATAAACAGAGTCAGATAGACTAATATGCATTTTCTTTAGAAATATCACTTTTAACACCCTCGCTAGACATAGTTGAAAGTTTGATAAAGGTACCTATATCCCAAATTGCAATAATGAATTCCATAGCCCCAAAGTACCACATACATAGTGATTATGAAGCTTTTTTATCCTTGGTATAAGTCAAAGTAAGTTCCATTTATGGGATTCCAGTAGCCCACAAGTTAATTTATCACACGACAACGTAAGCACAGCCCTACCATCACTAAACAGCTGCTCCATACGAGCTTGCGCGAGAAACTCTCCGTTGTTCACAGTCAGCAAGACGAATTCTCCAGCTCCGTTGAAAGTGTACGGAACGCCATTCAGGGTAACGAAGTGAGGATCACCCCAGAACCATGCTGCGAGGAGAAGAGGCACATTTCACATTATCGTAAGTCCTAAGCAAAAACTATTGCAGAGATGAGAAACATACTAGTAAGTAATACTAACTAACATTCAAACATCATCTTATATGAATAGAACAATTTACTATTGCGAGTAGACATTTGAAAGTTAAACCAGCTGGCATTTACCATCAATTAATAGAATGGATGTCCTGCATCATGCCAAGTAAGATTAAAGTTTTCCAACAAAAGTGTGAAAGCTATTGTTCCTGGGTACCCATGATACCGATTAGTATGGGTGAAGAAAATTACCTGGCCGAGGGAAGATGTAGCCCGCTCCATCATTGGCCGGTCTTTTTTCAAAGTATTTATCGCAGTTGTTGGACAACATGCAGCAAAGGATAAAGGGGTAGACATCTGCTAGGAAATGACTGTTTGTGAAAACGAATACATGTTAGTGTTGTATTTTTTAATATCTTTAGCATCTGCTTATTGCAGCTCCTTATTGCCGACTTTCAAGATTTATTAAATTCAAATCATTTGTTAATATCAATATTTAAGATTTAAATTCGTGAATACAAGGCCAAACTTGAGTTATATCACGGTATGGAATTTATCTTACGTATCTTTAAGGTATGCAACTGATAAAACGAAACATAACATGCCTTCTTAAATCACCAGTTTTTGTCGTGCAATTAGGCAAGCTCTAGATAATTTTATCAGGTAGATAGATAATCAAGTGACTGAGAAACGAAGTACTCACCCCAGCGGTGAATCTGAGTGTACCCTATCTGGTGTCCCTCTTCCAGGCCCATCCAACAACAGGCTGCCATCTTGTTTGTAGCAGCACTGCTGTCCAGCACCCTGAGACCTTGGAGAGTGGTGATTAGAAATTTCCGTAAACAACACAAATGAGTAAAGACTAATGGACACATATATATGATTTACAGTGTCCAAAGTCAATCAAAATATCTGGACTTCACGATTTAATAATTTGATTGACAACCGATGATGAAATGTGTTGGTCATCATGAAAACTTTCAGCTGAACTTACGTTTGGTTGATGGACCGCACGCAGTGATGTGCTCCGGGGTGGAAGAAGCAGTTTAGCCAGCTCGTGGAGGCAGAGTTACACGCCTCGTCCGCCTCAAAGTTACCTACATCTCCCCGGGCTTGGTTTAAGGTAGCCGGACATGGGATTTCCCTTGACAGTTGTTCCACGAAGTCAGGAAGGAGACTATCGGCTAAGCACCATGCATCGCACGAAGCTGCTGCTGTTGCTCTGACACTAACGTATGTAGCTATTCCTCCATACAGCAGCATGCTGAAAACATTTATCAAATACTGAGTATCGATTTAAGAATCAAATAACCATCCTCATCGTGAATGAAAATGATTAAGAAATAAAGTGCATAAATCTATTATCCATTATGGTCCAAAAAGTTCAAATTTAGAACCAACTTTTAGAGTTGCCACATGTCATATATATGTATTCTTAATTTGTCGTCCTTTCCTGGTTGTTGCAATTAGCTCTCGGGCAAGAATTTGCAATAAACTGATCATTTCAGTCCATACCATAGTTGTGGATGAAATATTGTTCTTACGCGGATTTCGTCTTCTTCTCCTGTTATTCTGTCAAATGGATTCAATTTCTTCATTTTTCAGACTAATGAGCTGCAATCTAGATCTGGTAGAGTAGGTGGTACAACTGGACGTTTTTAAAGACATGCTTTTAGAATTGTTTTATTTGTTGATATTTTGCCAGTTTCACTCAAAAACTGTAAATCTTGGGCTCTTGAGACCTGGTATTACACCCAAATGATCTGAAATTCGGCATGGATATGCCTTTTATGACTACATATATACAGAAATCCATTATGGATTGTATATGGATGAAAGACATTGTTTTCCATTTGCCCCTTCCATTTCGTTAAACTTCATTCAACGTTGGGGACAAATGACCTGAAAGTTGCAATCTCCAAGCAAGTACAGGGTGGCATGGGTAAGTAATATTCAAGCAGATACAGTCTGGTGTGCATCTTGTCAAAAGTGCGAAAATTTGTACTATTAACGTTGAAAACACTTTTACTGAAAAGTACTGAAAAGGGGCCGGGGGGAGTATATGGGGGTTTCGAAAACACCTAATACTGAAAAGCACTTCATTCCGAATACTTGTTACTGAAAAGCAGAGGTTTCAAGACTATTTTCTTGAAGGCACGGTATGGGGATTTCGAGAATATCTTAGTACCGAAAACCACTATATGGTGGTTTTGAGAACAATTGTTACTAAAATCACTATTGATATTGGGGAATACATGTAGATCCTTCCGCAGCTTCTTTGGTTAATATGCTGTTGACATACATACAGACTCACGCTATGGCTGAAAACATACCCTTCTGGCGAAGACAATAATTAGCGATTTCAAATGCTAGAAGGCAATAATAGATGGCATAATCTTTTCATGGGAAGACAATCAACGATAGGGGAAAATAACGTACAGTATTTTCGTGCACAGCAATATGTTAGTACAGAACATTATAAGGAATCTACCCGGTCCCTCCGTTTCCAGGAGATATAGACAGAGCGCCGGTTGCAACATCCTCTGGTATCCACCCATCTGCGATAGACAGGGTGTAACTGCCCGTGTTGGGGACATCAGAACCCAACTGTGCTACGACATCCCAGGTCCCAGCCGTTTCATCGAATCCGTATAGGTACACATTGACTGTGTTCCCGTCAACGGAGGAAAGCTGCCATTCAATGGTTATGGTCTCATCGGCAGCATTTTCGGTGGTTCTCAATTGTGGCAAAAGTCTGTCGGGATGAACTGAAAACCAAGGAAACCGTTCCAATACACTACAATACGCATTGAATATAAATCATTTGCAACACTGATGGTAACAGATTTTCTGGTGAATTCTGTTGTTCCCAACAAGTGGATGCCACAATGGATTAAGATGTTAGTTACAGAAGCAACCTTCATGGCAGAAATGCAGTATGATTTAAAATACAATACTATTAAAAGTTATATTAAAACAATAGATACATACATATACATTACACTGCGCAAACACTTTATCGTTGAGTAGATCATCAACAAGGTAGAGCAGTGTCCTCTTTCCATATCTGGCTGTTATATATTTGAATTGAGTTATTTGGTATTTAGACCTGAAGTTTGCCATGGAGACTCACACGATTTAGCGACAATAAAGTGGAGAAAGTCGAAAATCCACCGAGGCATAGATGTGCCCGTTACCTGAAGTGTACATAGCCCAGTAGTCGTACGTATTTCCACCATCCGTGGACACCATGAGGGGAACCCGGCCAGGGTTAGACAGGAAGGGGGAAATGCAGGCTGCCGTCGTGTCGCTTTCAACCCATCCTGGCACCTGGTGATGAAAACGATAAACAGCATCCATTCTATCACATCAAGGAAGTTACATCGGGGAACAAGTAAATTGTTTTTAAAAAAAGATTGTATTCACTGGAATCTTTGACCAAATTAGACTTCTTCATTCTATTACATTGCTTTTTGTCACTAACATTTTGGGGAATGACATTGACACTCTTATTACCTCCGGGGAAGGAGATATCCTTCCGCGAGGAGGTTTTACTATGGTTCGAAACATTTCTGTCAGCAGCTGTTTCTCGCGATCGGCTGGACGGATTTGTCTGTGGTTCGGTATACGTATTGCTATTGGGCTGCAGATGATACAGAACGTTTTTGTTTAATTGCATATGTGTTTATGGGCGTCGAAATAAAAGGTTTTTAAGTGCTCCGGACACCCCCGCCATGCTGAAAATGGTAATTACCATGTTGTTAAGGAATGGGGCGGTTGCAGTTTTGGGTCTTAGCATTCAAAAGGGGTCAAACAGAGGGGTGTCTGGTTCCGATAAAAATTTTGGGTGACGGCGCAGCAATGACGGCGCGGGATGACGGCGGGGGTAATGGCGCGGGTGACGGTGCAGGCTGTCAGACTGTGAGACACGTTAATCAACAGTCCATACCGAACCAACCGTCAGTAGCCATCAAACACATACAAACATATTACGCACATAACTTTCATACTACACACAAACAAATAACCTAAACCAATAGTACACAAAAAAACCGGAGGTTTGAAATTTACGATTTCCCTTGTTTAAGCTAACAATCAATTCACAGTACATTTTGTTCAATATTTATGGGTTCACCACACCACGAAGTGGTGGTGAACCCATATTGCTTTTTCTGATGTTTCTTCTTCTCCTTCTCCTTCTCCTTCTCCTGCCATTTTTTAAATGGATTCAGCTTCTTTATTTTGGGGCCTAAGGACCTGAAATTTGGTATGGAGGTACAGTGGGCAAATACCCTCAGGCGTTTTTGGCTGTATTATAGCAAGTGTATTGCTGTGTCAGTGGGCAGTGTTAACCGCATTTGGGCATGAGTCATCACAATGGAATGCAGGGCATCAACCAATAGGCATGCAGCTTTCCTCTCTTCTTCTTGCTGATTGGCTGTTGGGATTTAACTTGATTAACACCTGCACAGAGCATTTCCACCTGCACAGAGCATTTCTTGCTGATTGGCTGTTGGGATTTAACTTGATTAACACCTGCACAGAGCATTTTCATACTGACAGTATGTCTGTATTCAAGTGTTTTGGTAGGTATTTCAAGCTTTCCTGCTCCAGCATTGGAATGCGGGGCATGAACGTTTTTTTTTAAATCAACAGTTTGCATTATGCAATTAAAAATCCTAACCAATAATGTAGGGAATAACTAGCCAACTGTTGTAGTCTTAGTTGTATGTTACTTCATATTATAGTTATATCAATGTAAAGCATTGTTTTCCCTTGTGTTTCTCATTCTTTCCCTGCCATGTCGTAAAATGTGGTGAAGCCATCTCTGTATTTGCTCCAAAGCAAATATTGGCCTTTCTAGTGCACTCTAATCCTTTATCTTCAAGGTGACTCGCAATTTGGCAACGATGTTTTAAAATCATACAAAAACATGATTCCGTAGCGCTTGAAACTGAGCATGATACGAACCGGATCATTAGCCCCAAACTTGCATCGGATGTCCATATATTCGTCAAAGCAGGGCCCTGATATTCCAACCTTTGTCCCACCCAACATGGTCCCAAAGAAGGGACATAGCCTGATTGACGCTGTAGTAGAAAGATACGACATGTATGCGGTAATCGTTGTGGGGTTCTCGTACTAATAGAATTACGGTTCCCTTGGAAGGATATTTCTGCACCAATTTATCGATCCAATCTATCATATTTTCACAAAGGAAGACAGCGAAAACGTTGGATCAAATCATGAAACACTACAGGAGTAACATGGTGAATTTTCAGAAGCAATTGACTCACATGGAAGAAAATGCATTAGGTAAATTCAAAGATTATGGCAGTTGTGTGTGTTCCTCCACATACCATCAGCATTGCATCCGCCCTCTTCGATGTAGCTGTCGATCCGGAAGATCCAGCGACCCGGAAGGTTGACGTTTGATGTTGTCTCGACGTCAACGATGGCGTCCGTTTGAGATCCATTGACGGAGTAGTATACTATGCCGTCTCCAGCATTGAAACCAACCTTTCAGAACGAAAACACAACAACGTCATTGTGTGTATCCGTGTATTATGCCATCAGGTTGGCGAATGATTGAATAACAAAGTTATTTATTCACGACCACTTGTTTCGATGACCATCTGTCATCTCATCAGGGCAATTATCACTGGTTCACTGTGCTCTGAAACTAGATGCATTGTTAGCACTGACACAGAGCTTCAGTGCACAGTAAACCAGTAACACCTAGCTTCAGTGGACAGTAAAACAGTAACACCTAGCTTCAGTGCACAGTAAAACAGTAACACCTAGCTTCAGTGCACAGTAAACCAGTAACACCAAGCTTCAGTGCACAGTAAACCAGTAGCACCTAGCTTTAGTGCACGGTAAATCAGTAACACCTAGCTTCAGTGCACAGTAAACCAGTAACACCTAGCTTCAGTGCACAGTAAACCAGTAACACCTAGCTTCAGTGCACAGTAAACCAGTAACACCTAGCTTCAGTGCACAGGAAACCAGTAACACCTAGCTTCAGGGCACAGGAAACCAGTAACACCTAGCTTCAGGGCACAGGAAACCAGTTACGATTGCCCTGATGAAGATAACAGACGACCATCTCGTTAAACAAGTGGGTGTGAATAAAGAACTTTGCTAATCAGTTATTGTGTATAGTTTGTTAAACTGTATTTTTCCAATGGAAATATTCTACTGTGTTAAGAAAGTAGCCATACAATTACTATTATGTATAGTCTTTGTTTACCTGTGCAGGTGTTCCTCCTAAGCCTGTGAGTTCATCCCCGCCACTGGCTGTCCCCGTTGTCCATGTGATGTTGCCGTAGTTGAAAATGGTAAAGCTCTGTCTTCCGTTAGAAACCAGAACTGCCTGGAAGGTGTTTCTCTACAAGTGGATAAAACGGCAAGATTTAGGGAACCAATCAATGTATAGATTCTATTGAGTTGATGTTAGAAGCTGGGGGAGTTCCAGAGACTAATTATCTCCTAGAGCCTTTTGGACATTTTGTCCTTGACAAACTGTGAGTACTGATAATTACAATATATAGACAATACAACTTTGAACATTTGCAAGATATTGAAACAATCAATTTGATATTGAAAGCGTTTCTAATAATAGTATCTAAATATAGCTAAATACAACATCCTCGTTTCTGATGCACAATATTAGATATCATTTGTTCCATAACAAGCCTTTCAATCTATAATATATTTTATACAACATTCTTGTTTCTCCAAATATACTGATGCACTACCTCAAAGTTTCAAATACCTTCTCGCTTCCGGATCCAAAGTAAGCCACTTCGTGCCATGTCGCCACGAATGCCCATGCAGCTTGGAAGTTGGGAAGGTATGGGAAAGTGAGTCTGATGTCAGTAGTGGCGCGTGCGAGGATGTTAGGGTCGGTTGTTTCGCGGTACATCACAAATCCTCCGTTCCTCGTGTCCACATCACCCCAGAAAGGAGTTATCAAACGCCTGCCATCTCCCAGTGGGAAGGAGTCAGGGGTATACTGGGCTATCTGACCCAGGAATGATATCACTCCATTGGTGTTTACCTGTTGATATACAATTGTATAGTCAAGGCATTGATACCAGCAGATCGGTACATTTCTTCCATGTGATTACAAGTCGGAGCAAGCGAGACAGAAGACACGTACAGCAGAAGAACATGAAAAAAGACTGAATGCAGCTACAGGACGACACCGTGGAGGCCTACGAGGAGAATTGCAATTATTACCTCCATGAAAAATGGAGGTATTGTTTTTGGCGTGTCTGTCTGCATGTCTGCCTGTCTGTGTGTGTTTCCGCAACGTTGTGGTCAGCATAACTTCAGAACACCTTTATGGATTGTGATGATATTTGGTATGTTGGTAAGTCTTGGAAAGACAAAGGTCAAGGTCAAGTATGGGCCTCCTGGTGGATGACCTTGGTACTGCAGCAGAATTTCCGGTTTTTGTATCTTTTGTCCTGAACATGCTATGGCCTTGACTTTTTGGTGACAGATAGCTTTTTCTGTCACAAATAAGTGGTGCTGGTTTGGTCCCCCTAGCAGCTTGTTCTGGAACTGCAGGGGACTTTCTGGCGAAACCTTTAAAAGCCAATACGTCCAGATAGGAACAACGTATTTTCATCATTTTTGGTGTGTGGGTGGCTGAGAAAGAGTTGTACATAATCAAATGCAAATTATGCAAATGACGACCTAATTTACAAAATTAACACATCAAGACATTTTATAATTACAGTGTTTTATATAAGAGTACTTTATACATGTAATCTATTTAATCTGTGGCAGGTGGAACACTAACAGATACCAATTATGCAAAAGATGGCCTAATTTGCATAATTAATGTGAAAAGTATGTGACCCTTATTGGTGAATGATGGGAATTTTATACCTTGTGACATGTGTAAGTTACTTAAAGGTTAACACCACTATACATATATTATGTTAATGTCGAGATCATTTGCATAATTAATGAGGACATGTTGAAACGACGTATGACAAAGCAAACCCATATTTCATGGAGGTATGAGATCTCGAAACTCTTGTGTTAATTTTGTCACACAATGTACTTCATGTATTTTGTTTGGTAGAATGCTACACTGTTTTCTCAATGTTGAATGAAGTATATTTTGTACACTGAGAAAAACAAAAAAGATATTTGTTACCAAGGTTAGTTTAATCCACATTTGATCAAATCTTGGTTGTATATGATATTTCTACATGGGTCACAAAAACACATGTCGTCATTTACATGTTGTGTAAGATGGTCACCCTTACTCTCATGACGTAGCGGTTAGATGATGTAACAAGTTGCATTATTCAATGTAAAACAAAATATAGGTCTTTGTTATTGATTACGCAAATAATATGCTGATTACACCCCACTCATCTCTTTGCTATCCACGAACAAGAGTTCCGAGATCTCATACCTCCATGAAATATGGGATTTCTTTGTCAGACTTCATTTCAACATGTCCTCATTAATTATGCAAATGATTGCCCATTATTCACCAATTAGTTTATCATTTGCATAATTGGTATCTGTTGATGTTCCGCCTGCCACAGATTAAATAGATTACATGTATAAAAGAACTATTATATAAAACACTATAATTACCAAATTTCCTCATTAATTTTGCAAATTAAGTCCTCATTTGCATAATTTGCATTTAATCATGTACAACTCTCTTTCGGCTACCTACACACAAAATATGATGAAAATACGTTTTTTCTATCTGGACTTATTGGCTTTCAAAGATTTCGCCAGAAAGTCCCCTGCAGTTCCAGAACAATCTGCTAGGGAAACCAGTACCAAGGTCATCCACCAGGAGGCCCATATTTGACCTTAACCTTTGTCTTGACTTATCAGCATACCAAATATCATCACAATCCATAAAGGCGTTATGAAGGTATGCTGACTACAAATGTGCGGAAACACAAACACACACACATACGCACACACACACGGACACGCCAAAAACAATACCTCCATTTTTCATGGAGGTAAAAACAAATAATATAAATGGATTGTGTAGTTACCCATAGTGAGTCGTGCAAATGGTTGAAATATGGGAAAGAAAATGAGATGCCAATGATGTCAGATCCTCCATCATCATTCGCTGGGTTAGCCGTATCACCCTCGTTTGGTCCGTATGGATAAAACAGGTCGTTGTCTATTGGAATTACATCCTGGGATGCAGAAGAAACAGGCCATAAGTTAATCATTATTTTATCATCAGTATAGATGTAAGTATACATGTAAATGTATTGGCGTGAAGGTCATGTTATAAGTCTTTCACATTTTGTTGATACAGTAAATTCTAACACATATTGTGTGATTTAAAGTTGTGATGTACCCGTTAATTGAGGTATAACAAATCAACGAAAAGGAGGAAAACTAGTCAGGAGCTCGGAGAGACAAGAGTTTTATTAAATATTTTTTCGTTTTTTTTTTTAACTTTTTGACCTTACTAAGACATAGACAAAGGAAAGAGGATAGTAAAGCGATGTACGTCATATTCGTCATTATAGTCAAGTCAAAGTTTATTGCACAACGATTGTCACGGGTACAATGTATGGCAAATAATAAAGTTACTATTTGCTATGAGTCTATCATAATTCTACATATATGGTCTACGGTTATTGTGTTTGACAGAGTGTAATAAAGAACTGCTGGCTAGAAAATAATATATAAGAGAAGACGAGGACATGTTTGGGGAATATGGAATTGATTTCCTCAAGGCTTCATTCTAAGATTTCCGTTATGGCCCATTAAGGGCCTGGGAAGTTGTTTTTTTACGTTGCCAAGGACAAATACGTGTGTTCGAAATACGTATTTGGAGAGGTTGTAGGGGAATATCTAATTTAGCAACAGCGAAATAGTCACCATCTCTTTCTTTGTATTCGTAAGAGGTCTGTATTTAACTCACAGCGAAAGAAGTGTGAAGTGTAGTTGTCGTCGGATGAGGAGGTGTAATCGTCGACATATCAGGTGTAGTCGTCGTCATATCGGGTGTACTCGTCGTCGGTGGAGGTGTGCTAAACGCACTCGCCTGTGCATGGAAAGTGACATTATCACACAGAACAACAAGAATGTTGTTGCCTTTTCTTTGCTTATTTCCAGTAAACCGAATTCAATATGTGCTGCACATTCGTGTGCCAGAATGATTTTCTGAGTGGCAATCTATGACGGCAGTTCACATTGTTAAGGCTGGCGCAGTGATAATAAGTAGTTATCATATATTTTGTGGAAATTGATATTTTCTGGTAAAGTCTCCGTAAGAATAGATTAGTTTTGCATTTTCCCTCATTTTCCGAGATACTTCCGGTATAGTTTGATCGACATTTAATATGCTGCCTTTTATTCACTTTTCCGCCCAGAATTTGAAAGAATCATTTTTGCTACACAAAAGTCAATATATTATTTGCGTTGATACATAGCATTTCCTGGTGTTGAGAAATCACTTTATCGCCTTCTAGAACTTCCATGACCTCACACCTTTGCAAAATAAATTATTGTCTCATTAACTATGGACAAATGTAACCGATGTGGTTTTCAGGTGCTGCGTTGTAGATTCGGAATGAGGGGCTGACTAAAGTACTATAAAGAACACACACAGGCAGGGTCGTTACACATGCACGTTAGGCTCGCTTCTTGTGACTTCCTTCTTTGGCCTTCTTTCTCTCAAATGTTTTCTCTCAACTCCCCTGTTCCTACTGTCTCTCAGCATGATCCTCCCTTCTTTATTCACAAAAATTAGCATTACAATGTCAGACGAGTGTCTCCCATTCTGTTCTAGAAACACTTTTGAAGTTCAAACATAATACAGTAGTATGAATTTGACAGACACTTGGCATGAAGTATGTTGGTTGGTTACCTTAACGTACGCAAATGACGCAAGTCCAACACCTTCCCATCTATCGAACGACATCGAAAATATAATTTTCTTGGCGAAGTTATTCAACTTTTACTTTCTTTTTCCGCCCCAATGAATTCAGGTGGTAAAGACCATAGGAAGCAGAAGTGTGCTAGAGATATAATGTGTTTCAGCATTCGGGCTACGCTCACACCTACAACGCCAAGGAGAATACCATGTAGTAAAATGATTTTTGAAGTGCAGAATATCAGAATTTCTCAGAAATGTTGTGGCCTTGATATGGGTATTTTATACATGCTTTTTACACTATAATACAATGAATTCATAAAAAGGGTGTTTTATTGCATTATTGTCCTTATAAATCAGTACTACCGACATTAGGCCAAACTTGCATGACATTTCTAGAAAGTAGAGGCTCTTAGCTTTCTATTAATTCATAACACATTGGGATTATTGTGTAGAAAAGGAACCAAAATCTACTAAAACAAAAGTAGTACCATTAATGTTTAGAAGTTTTGAAATATCTCGATGGTGTAAAATCTTGATAGATCCGGGATCACGGCACATGTCTTGTGAGCGGGTCGGGGATATATCCGGGATAGGGGTATACGGGACCGCGAGTGGTAGTCAAAATACAAAAATAATAATATAATAATAATGATAATATAACAACTGCTCTTGGCTGTAAATCACAGCAGTAAAGTGACTATAGACTGCCATCGACAACTAAAATCTGTGTATGTACAGCATGTCTTTGTACAGTTCACTCCATCGTCGTCTGTCTTGATACCGACATTTCAAACATGGTTTTCATACTGTAATAGAATGAGTTCATATAAAGGATGTTTTATTGCAATGAAGACAGTAAACAGTTTGTTATCGTTCGGCGCAGCACACGAGTGGTTCGACTTGGGTGGGGTTAGCTCGGTCTATATAGTTTTGATCCATCAGAACATCGATCATTCGTTCTTTGAGAGCTAAAGTACAGCTCTCAAAGGTACATTAAGGTACATTAGGTACATTGCCCTTCCACCGTGTCTTGAGCCTCTGTCCTTCCAGCATGCCTATTACAGTTTGGTAACTCTGATGTTTTCCATAGATTGAGATTCCGATTTACCAATGCTCTGCTTGTACCTCAATTATCAATGTTTTGTTTACATACAAGTAGTCAACTACAGTATTCCCTATACTAAATGCAAAAAAAAGCGAACTTTTTTATGTATGTAATCCTTATGTTGTCATAATTTGTTAGGAACTGTATATTCCAAGTCAATGGCATTGGGCACTAAAGTGGATTGTATAAGAACATTGTAAAATGTATATCTTATTGTTTTATGTGACTCTTATTATGAAAGTTGTTAATGAAATTGGTATACATTTTAAAAGAAAGTAGAAGTTGTAACCTTTCAACTTATATTAAAGAATATCTTTTACAAAATCTCAGAAAGGAGAATACCGTGCTGTAATGAGCCTTTCAGTCGAATAGTCAATTCAGCACCCAGGACAGTCAGCAGTCATTAACTCACCTGTAATAGTACCTGGGTAACTTGTTTCTCATGTATTTATTCGATGAATAAACTATAATACGATGGGTTCATAAAAGGACATTTTATTGCATTACTGTCCTTATAAATCATTACTACCGACACTATACTAAACTTGCATGACATTTCTAGAAAGAAGAGGCTATTAGCTTGCTATATTGATGTATAACACATTCGGAATATTGTGGAGGAAAGGAACCAAAATCTACAAAAACAAAAGTAGTATCTTGATATATCAGGAACTCTGTCACATGACGTGTGGGCGGGTCTCGGACAGATCCGGGATTGGGGTGTACAGACGATCGCAGTGACGTGGCGGACAGCGAGTGGTACGTAAATAAGAATACTAATGATAATGATAATAACTTTCGTGGCTGTAAAGTAGCAATTACTGTTCGCCAATGTACTGCGCACAATTGTGGTCCATGTATAGTGTGGGAGCAATATCCAAACTACGGGTGGCATACCACAGTGCTTTTAAGTTGTTGTTTTGTGCTGGCAGGTTTGCAAGTACAAGTTATCTGTTTGCTATGAACCGGCAGACACGTTTGACGCTAAACGCCGTAAGGTTACCCACTCATTCGTTTCCCGTCTGTTGTCGTCAGACAATGAGATTATCCATCTCCTTGTGCATTCCGATGCCTTCCGCCACAGTACGTTCTGGCGGCACTATATGGACTTAGTCTTCTCCAGATAGTTTTAGATTTGTTTTTAATTGTATGTACTGTGTTTGTTGATATGGGCCATGGGCCTGATGCAAATAAATAAATAAAATAAAATTAATTAATTAATTTACTATAGACTGCAATCGACAGCGCAAATTTGTGTATGTCTTTGTACACTACATCGTTGTCTGTCTTGATACTGACATGGTATTTATACTGTAAGAGAAGGAGTTTATAAAAATGATGTTTAATTTCAGTGAAGACAGTAAACAGTTTGTTGTCGTTCAGTGTACGCAGCACAGGAGCAGGTAGTTTGACTTGGGTGGGGTTAGCTAGATTCATGGAGCTTACAAGCGATCAACACAGATCATTTTACTCTTTGAAAGCTAAAGAATTCTTAAGGTACATTGCCCTTCCACCGTGTCTTGAGCCCCTGTCCTTCCAGCATGTCTATTATAGTTCGGTAACTCTGATGTTTTCCCTAAATTTAGATTCCGATTTACCAATGCTCTGCTTGTACCTCAATTATAAAGGTTTTGTTTACAGACGAGTAGAGTAGTCTATTACAGTAGTACCTATACTAAAAGCAAAAACAAACACTTTTTTGTCAGGAACTGTATATTCCAAGTGACTGTATGACTTTGGTCACTAGTGTGGATTGTATAACAGCACTGTGGAAAATATCTATTTTATTGTTTTATGTGTTTCTTACCTTTGAAAGTTGCTATGAAGTTGGTATAGATATTTCAGAAGGTACAAGTTGTAATCTTTCAACTGATATAAAAGAACATATTTTACAAAATGTCTTAAAGAAGAATACCGTGTTGTACTAAGCCATATTCAGCACCCAGGAAAATCCGTAGTCATTAACATACCTGTGATAGTACCTGGGTGACTTGTTCTCATGCACGTAATCGTGAGGTTTTCAGGATTTGTCGGAAATGTTGTAGCCTTGATATTGGTATTTCATACATGCATGATTTTCACACGATAATACAGTGAATTCATAAAAAGGACATTTAATTGCACTATTGCCCTGATAAATGATTACTACTGACACTAAGCCAAACCTGCATGACATTTTTAGAAAGGTAGAGGCTCTGGTCAGTTAGCAGAAACTGACCAGAGGAAGGGTTGATGATTCTACCCTATCTCTGTGACTGGCTAGCTCCTACAGAAAATCAAAAAGCCTACGGCTGTTGCTCTACTGTTCCTTTCTTTTATCGCCGAGAGGAGTCTGATGGTAGAGACAAGAGGAAGCGAGAGACAGGCGTGAGTTAAAAACAAGGTGATCGGTACCTGTTGAAACGACGGGACTGCCACCAAGACCAACAGTAGCGCTCGGAAGGGGATAATTGGAGCCATGGCTCCCAGGACTGGTGAGACCTTCTGAAATAGCTCGATGGTGTAAAATTTGTTTATATATCCGGGACCATGGAACATGTTGTGATATATCCTGGATACGGGCGTGACTGGCAGACAAAATATAATAATAATAATAGTAATAATAACTAGAGTTCCACGATCTCATACAGTCGTCCAATGATATAGATAATAGATGCTTATAGATGCTTTTCTTCGATTATAATATGGAAGTACAACCCTCATTTGCATGAATTAATTGTTCAGTTGATCATATTCTCCACCCAATGTCAGTCTTATCTCAACAAAGAAGCATTTCTTTATTGATTATGTAAATGAGGTCCAAATTCAAATAAGTCATGTAAATATTGGAGGAATCAAATATTGGAGGAATCAAATATTGGAGGAATCTTTCAAATTGTGATACAAGCACCACACTCGGTACAAATACTTATGAGACATCACTATTTTGAAAAAGTACGCGGGCAAAACTGCAGGAGCGTTTTTTTTTGCCGGTGCAAAAATTTGCTTTAAGGGCGCTTTTTTTGCTTCGGAAGGTCGGCTGCAGTACCAAAAAGCGCCATTGGAGCAAATTTTTGCACCGGCAAAAAAACGCTCCTGCAGTTTGAACGCAAGCAGCTAGAGACACCAAATTTACGTCACTTCTTTCTTACTTTAACAGCTTTCTACCACATAAAAATCATGACTGTAGCATCTTTAAAACATGAGATACAAAGCCCGGAAGGTCGGCTGCAGTACCAAAAAGCGCCGCTAGGGGGCACCAAAAGTCAAATCAAGTGGCCCGCGTACTTTAGTGATGTCTCATGAGTATTTGTACCAAGTTTGGTGCTTGTATCACAATTTGAAAGATTATTTCAGTTATCTGCCACACTATAAAGGAAAACATACAGATAAAAATACGCATAATAACAATAGTTAGAATATGTCTGTTAGTACAGACGGGCCCAGATATCGCAGAACAATCTCTATCGGAAGATTACATCGGATATGAGAACAGACGGGATATAAAAGAATAGCATTGCTTGCGCCATGTAGCGTCCAATGTGTCTGTCCTGTAGTAAACATTCAAACATTTCACTGGCACTGCAAAATCTGGGTAATGACATTATAATGCGAAAACAATTGTTGTAGGCAACTCGACACTTTAGTGCTAGCGGAGTCAAAGGTTGAGAGCAATTACGTTACACATGGGGATGATACTACCGTAACTCAGCGACGCACGCACACCGTAAATCTTGAATTTTTCGCGGTGGTTTACTTCCGCGGTGCCTCTCCATCGCAAAATCACCACACCGCGAATCTACGTGCTGAGCTGCAGCGTTGTTTCGACCATGTCGACCGAGACATTAATAACAGCGTAAAAAATTCTGCCTACTCATGATCATAGCGTAAAATTACATCAGTGCCTGCAGAAATGCGTCAATTTACAGTAATATACCTAGGGCCGGCAATCCTTTTGATATCGTGGAGAGGTAGGGGTGGCTTTAATAACATTAAACGTTGTACTTTGTAACACCTGCAGCGTGAATGTGATCGAATATCTGTAACGTTGGTGAGGACGTTTTCTAACCAATGTGGACTTGGAAAATTCAGTACAGCAAATTTTAACACATGGCGGTATGCTCACACATACAGCGCCAAATATCGATCTAGTGCAATACTTCAAAGCTGAAGCTTCTTTTATCTGAGAACTCCATAACGCCTACAATAATAAAACGTGTTTTGTATCCGCCAGAGCGGAGTTCATGAAAATATCAAACCCTATCTACACAAAAGCAAATTTTGCTATTCTTGTTACATCAAAAGCACTGTATGTTTCAGACCATGGCCAAAACTAGAGTTCCCCGATCTCATACCTTCGCCAAATAATGTTAATCTTTATGAGTGACAAATTATAGATTATTTCCCCTGATTCAACAAACAGGATTATCATTTCCATGAATTATTTCAGTTTATCATATTCTCAACCAAAAGACAGTCTTATATTAACAAACAATGCCATTCTAGCATTTCCTCATAAATTATGCAAAGGAGGTCCTGATTTGAATACATACATTATGTTTAATGATGTTCATCTTCACTGAGCTTTCAAATACCACAAGTATGAAATTCCAGGCAGTTATCATTACATTTTTAAAATTGTTTCATTAATTATGCAAATTAAGTCTTTATTTACATAATCAATATCTGCCTGTGCTTTGCTCTTTCTCAATTACCAATCTCACAAGCACATGATAGTCCTATCATGGAATGCAGCTGATTTATAGAATTCCGCCATAAATTATGCAAATTACATCCATATTTGCATAATTGTCAAATAATTATATCAAGCATTACGTAAGCTACCTATATACTATAAATCACGACGATCCGTCAAACAGTTTTTGAGTTATCCTCTTTTGAATATTTTCAAACAGATAGACTTGCAGTTCCAGAGCAAGCCGCTAGGGGGCCCAAGCACTTCTTTTGCAGCACAGGAGCTACGTACCATCCAAATTTCGTCACCCCAGCATGTCTAGATCAGGAAATATCAAAACCGGAAGTTTAGCTGCAGTACCATAACAAGCCGCTTGGGGGTCCAAAATCTAATCATTTTGAGGTCTAATCAAGACCTACCCACCTACCAAGTATCAAAACAATCCATATAAGCCTTCTCAAGTTATCGTGTCCACAGACGGACGAACACACACACACACACACACATACACACATACACGAACGCCTCTGAATACATAACCTTCTTGGCGAAGGTAATAACTCTCTACACTGCCAGACACCAGCTACTTATAATGTCCTGTTATCTTCGGAATAACACGACTTGAAGCATGTCGGCAGATCGTGCTGCGCCTGCGCGAAACCCTGATTTTTCACGGTTTTCGTTTGAATTGTTTGGTCAATGTTGCATCAGAATTTTGCCTATTCTTGGTACTGAAGTTCTGCTTCTGAAATGAATCTGTTTGGCTCAGTGGGTTCTCGTCGCAAAAGCGCCACCTACATCGCCCACCGCGGCGAGAAGCAGAACTCCAGTCAGATCCAGCTCTGATGAAGGTGTCTGATAAACATGATGTGATGATATCTTGGTTGTGCAATTACGAAAACTCCTGTATCCAGTGCATCCTTCGATCTGTTTGTTTAACTTTTCAGACTGTCAGACCAAGGAGGTTTAAAAAGAGAAACCTCCTTGGTCAGACTACAGCTAAGGCCATGTTGATTTGATTATATGGATGACATCCACGCGCGCATGAATTTTCGGCCGTTTCCAAAAAAAAAAAGTTTTCAACCATACTGTAAATCGTACAAAACAGTTGCAAAATGAGCAAAAATATACCATAAGTTACAAAAAAAAATAATAAAAACTATACGAATGTCGTAGAATGCCAAAGGAAAAAAGACGAAATTGTAAAGAAATGAACTTGAAGACTAGATTATTCGCCAAACCATATTCTGTGCCATTTGCTCAACCCTCATGACCACGTAGATTTCATAATGAAAAGAACTTTTTTTTTTGCAAAACTTTTTTTTTATTCGCACGCGCGCATCAGTTTTGGGGCTCCCGGAGGATGTCATCCATTAATCAAATCAACATGGCCTAATGGAGGGTGCCCTAATTCCGACCTACCGTCTAATTCCGTATGAAAAATCCTTGTTGGGGCGTTATGCATGAGCACGTGCCTAAAAATAACCACAAGAATGGACAAAGTTTTTGTGTTGATATCACGGTAGTCTCTCAAATTCTGTTTTTGAAAAATCTGTTTGAATTCGACGCTTTCAAGTTCGGGGGTCAAAAATGCAGGTTTTGCTTGTTCAAACAGCCGCTTTGGAGTAAGTCGCGTAATCGTAAAAAGCTTTTCTTACGGCATTTATAGAGGGCCTGCAAGCCCTTTTTCGTAAGGCGTAATCAGGCCGCTTTAGACTTCGTAATTCGTAGGCAGCCTCCGCAAAAATCAACGTAATTCGTAATAGGGCATAAGCCGCAAATCGTAAAGTCGTAATCAGCTCTGACTTGAACGTAATTCGTAATAGGCCTAGGCGGCGAAAATTTTGCGTAATTCGTAATCACTACCCCCCTTGCAGGCCCTCTTTATACAAAAGTAACGCCCTCCTTTCTCAGCACTGCAACACCAGAGCTGAAGTGGTATTCAGCACTGGAAACCCAGCGCTAAGACTTTCTCAGCACTAGAATTCCGATTTCTACTCTTTCCAACCACCTCCCAAGCCTGGTAGAGGCTA